GAGAAGGTTGGTTTCCAAAAATGAATAAAATAAATCCCAAAATTATCAATCAAGTACCATGTGACATATAGAAGGTCATTTATAGTCTGGTAAAATGCAGATTTTTTTAAAATATTATTTATGGTTTATTTAACTTTATTTTATGTGCATTGGTGTGAAGGTGTCAGATCCTCTGCAACTGGATCTTCAGACAGTTGTGAGCTGCCATGTGGGTGCTGGGAATTGAACCCGGGTCCCCTGGAAGAGCAATCAGTACTCTTAACCACTGAGCCAGCCCTCCAGCCCCTAAAATGCAGATTTTGACATAATTTTAAGGGTCACAGCATTACATTGGGCCAGGCCTATGAAGATCCCCTAATCCAGATCTACCTACCCAGCCAATAGGTGGCAATTGTTCTCCACCCAACCCAGGCAAACCAGTTCATGAGCGCCTTCATCTTTAAGTCCCACCAGCAACAGCACACCCTTCAATAGATAGCCTTCCCCCACCCCCATACTTGAGGTCACGTGGTCTGTAGTGGTTGTTAGGAAGCCCACCCTGCTTCCGTCAGTGTCCCACCCACTCACACGGGCAGAATTTCAGTGGGGTTTTATTGTCCATGCAGAGCAAGGCTTGGGAAATGAAGGAATGGGTCCCCTTGTGGCCTTGGACTTTGTGGTATTGAAGCCTTAATGCTGCTCCAGTCTCTGGCACTTACCTACTGCTAAACACCGCTTCCTCTTCCTCCTAACCGATTTCCACCTTGGCTTCTCAACTAGACCTTCCTGAACCCCTCTTGACATCAGCACCCTCCCGTTTCTGAACAGCTTCCCTGCTTTTCTGACCTCTGGTTCCCTCTCTAGTGAGGCCAGCCTGGCTAGAACTGATCTCTTCTAGCAGATACTAGACTTGGGAGAACACAGCCGAAGCTTCCCAAGAATACTTGCCCAGGGCAATTTCTATGCCCCATCCTATTCCCAGACCTTTCTAGAATCAAGCTTGACCCAGCATCAACTCTTATCCCCTCACCTCAGTCACCCAGAACTACAATAGCACCAAGCACTTGCCTCTGTGCTTGTCTGCAGGTCGGCCCTACCTGATACTCCAGGCCCGTCACTAGCTGCTCTGTTTCCCTTTCCTCACCTCCCAGCTCTCCCACCCTTTCCTGTCCAGTCCATAGAGCTTTGCAGTCTAAGCTCATGTTTATACCTTTTCTCTTTCATCCTTTCCCCTCCCCAGACTCTTATCTTCCATTTCTGCTGGCCTGGCTCCCTGTGGAAAGTCTGTCCATTTCACAATCACCCCTTGCTTTCAATATTATCGTTATTTAAAATGTGGTCCTTGTATAGCTCAGGCTAGCCGAGAACTTAGGATTCTTCTACTCTGACTTGCTGCATGCTTTGTTAAGGGCAAGAGCTGTTGGCTCACACACACACACACACACACACACACACGCACGCGGGCGTGCACTCTTTTTGTAAAACTCACAATAGATGTATAATTGCCTCTCCTACCAGGGGGTGGAAGCAAGGTTTTCTGAATCTCCAATATTAGCATCAGCCCTTTGTTACTCTGCTTTCCCCAGCCTCCTCACACGGACTGCAAGTTCCCAAAGGCAATTCTTCCTGTGTCGGTGTCCCACACTCCATCTGGGGCACAGCTTCTCACTAAATGTGAGGCTGAACCTGAGATCTCATTCACTTAGGAAGCATGCCCAAATTCCCCGGGGAAACAGCGCCTGCTTTCACTCAAAATGATATGGCCACCTTAGGGCTGTGACCCAAACCCCTGGCTTCTGTCAGGCCTCATGCAGGGGGGACCACTACTCTAAGAGAGGCACTCTGGGAAGGCAGGCGGTCTGAGAGTGTCTCAGCTCAAGCGTGAGAATGGGGAGCTTCCGCCTACCGCCTACCGCTTGTGACCAAGCAGAGGCAAGCACCAACCAGAGTCTGGAGCAACAGCAGCTGGGATGAGAAAGAGGGCAAGTGTTTCGACATGTGTTCATCGAGCTGGGGGTTTCTCTCAAGCACAGGCCCGCTGTCCAGTTTCCCCATTTGCTCAATGGTTCGGTTCTTTTTCTCACTCACGGGGATGGGTGGGGGTTAGGGAAAGGAGGACTATTGACTTCTCTGTTTCCCAAACTGCGTGCCCTGAAAGCAGCTGCAGAACCCACCTGCAGCAAAGGCACAGAAACCACCAGCGCCATCTTCTGCTGTTGGGCCTTCAGTGCAGGTCTGGTCTCGGTCTAAGTTACCAATACTGTGGGCAGGGCAGGGCAGGGCAGGGCAGGGCAGCCAGCGCCAGAGGTATAATTACTGGAACCTCCTAGCCAGGATTCCAAAACAGCCACAGTTTCAAAGGGACTCTTGTTTGCCCTTAAGTCACTAGGCACTTGCCAATTTTTTGATTGGGAAAGCGGGATTGCCACTGCAGGCCCTTAGCAGTCATTTCTCTCATCAGTCTCCAAAGTCTGGTCTGCCAGGTCCTGGGAGGAGGGCAGAGGAAGATGCTAAGCCACGGTTCCGAGTGTCCGGCTCGTGGGGGAACCTTGCTTCTCCTCACTTTTCTCACGCCACTGTCACACAATCTTGGCTCTAAAGGTGCAACCAGTCTGTTTATCGTAAAGGTTCTTTTCTGCCTTGGCTCTTCCTGGACATCACCTGGGGAAAAATTTAAATCTCATGCCTGGACATCCAAAACAATTTACCTTAACACCCTGTGGGTCACCCAAGGGTTACACACACTGGCATGCACATGGGCCTGGGTTTGATCTCCATCACCAAATAAACCCGGCGTGGGGGCACATTAACTGTAATCATAGTGCTTTGAAGCTAGGCTACATGAGACACAGTTTTAAAAAAAATCTTTCTAGTAAATGCCAATGTATACATCCCAAATTTACTTTTGTAGGGCGGAGTTTTCAAACTTGCCAGATGATAAAAACCACTTATAGTAACTTCATTTTAGCTTCCAAAATGAATAGTAACCGAAATTTATAGATTCTAAAATACAATAAAATATTTTACAAGTGTTTCTAACTATTTTAACATTTTTGTTTGTTTTTTTTTTTAAATATTTATTTATTTACTTATTATGTATACAATATTCTGTCTGTGCAGGCCAGAAGAGGGCACCAGACCCCATTACAGATGGTTGTGAGCCACCATGTGGTTGCTGGGAATTGAACTCAGGACCTTTGGAAGAGCAGGCAATGCTCTTAACCTCTGAGCCATCTCTCCAGCCCCCTATTTTAACATTTTTGAAAAGCCAGGTGATCTCACAACCATATTTCAGGAAACACATAAGGAAAGGTATAGGCAAGTTTGGGGAGAAACAGTTCCTTAGGGCAGGTCTTCCCAACCTTAACACCCTGTGGGTCACCCAAGGTACTGTTAAATCCTGATTATTTACTGGGCTTTCTGAGCTGATATTTGAGACCGTCTTTCTAACAAACTTCTAGGGCCTCTGATGTGCCTGCTCCTTGCGTGACAGTGATTCTCAGCCCGTGGACTGCGACCCCTCTGAGGGGCTGAATGGCATATTCACAGGAATCGCATATCGAGTATCTTACAGATCAGATATTTACATGACAATTCATAACAGCAGCAAAATGACAGTTATGAAGTAGCGCCAAAAATAATTTTATGGTTGGGGGGCATCACAACATGAGGAACTATACTAAAGGGTCGCAGCATTAGGAAGGTTGAGAATCCCTGTTCTAAAGTATCTCAGTCCAGGTGAGGTGAGCACTGGGAAGACTCATTCAAATGAAACTACTGGCCTTGAGAACTATGGCCAACGAGGTACTACATTCAGTGTCTGTGAGGCAACTGTGAGGTTGCGCCCTCACCCCCACAGGACAGCCAAGATGAGGGCGAGGGAGCAGAGCTATTCCAGCCTCTCCAGAGGCGGAGTTCAACTGCCCAGGGGAGAAGTTTGTTGTGTAAGGTGACACTGGCATACAACCCACACAAAATACCAGCGAAGTTCACTTAGCCAAGTGTAGCTGGTGTGGGGTAAGGGGAAGCAAGGCAATTTCTCTACCACATACTCCTTTTCCTTTGTCTTCATTAAGCAAATATTTGATGAGGACTCACTAGTAAACCACAAATTCAAAGGCGAATCAGATTTAATCTGTGAATGGAAGAAATGCACAATAGTAAATCAGAGAAACAAAGACTCAGTCGGTGGTGGCACATGATTTTAATCCCAGCACTCAGGAGGCAGAGGCAGGTGGATCTCTGTGAGTTCAAGACCAGCCTGGTCCACAGAGGCAGCTCCAGGACAACCAGGTTATACAAAGAAAACCCTGTCTCAAAAAACAACAATAAAAGAAAGAAAAGAAACTCTCTCTCTCTCTCTCTCTCTTACACACACACACACACACACACACACACACACAGACAGACAGACACACACACGGCATTCTGAGAGATGAGCCGGCACAAAGCAACAATAACAGCTCCTGGAGCAGACGTCTTTGCCAGGACTATCCCTTCGATTCCCTAAAACCAAGACCTTGTAAACTCAGCTAGGGGATCACCTTTAACCTTCAGCTCTTCAGCTTTCCAATGCAAACGAACCCCTAAAACGGTGGCTTGCAGGCTTGTTTGAGTTCTTTAGAAGGGAGGAGGTGACTGCTTCCTCCCAGGGCTCCAGTACCTGTGTTCTACCCAGCTGTGTCAAAACCCAGGTCATTTCCCTCATTAAAGAACATTAGAGCCTTTGCCCTTTGCCTGACTGGCAAAGCTTTTAATTAGCTTACCCTGGCATACTGCTAGACATAAAGGGGACAATCCCTAGATTCAGAAGCAGTTCTCCAGTCGGAGGAGGGAGTCTCAAAGCAGGGTAGGAAGGGTGCGAGAACCAGTAGTCCACACTGTCACTAACACTTATGGGAGCAGAAGACTGTCACTCTATCCCAACCCAGGTTTTCTTTATCTTGATCTCACAGACAGGAGCCGTACTGGAAATTTTTCGGAGCTAGAGAAAGCAGTTCTTCTCTGAGGAGAGAGCAGAGATGGGGAGTGGAATCAGTGCCGAGGATAAAGAACTTGCCAAGAGGTCCAAGGAGCTGGAAAGGAAGCTGCAGGAGGATGCTGAGAAGGAAGCCAAGACGGTCAAGCTGCTGCTGCTTGGTGAGTCACATGAGATGGGCTAGCGGAGGTGAAGAGTAACACTCTCTTTGCCTTTCTGGTGGGTTGATGGGACGGGGAGGGCTGGGCATGTTCTCATCCTGGGCCAGTCCTCAAGCTAAGAAACCAAGCAGAGCTTAGAGCTAAGTTAATATGGGGACCCAGAATGTCACGGTCACTGGAACTGTCTTGCTTTTCCTTGAACTATGAATAGTTTAAGTACAAACCTGGGCTACCCAACTGCAACAACACCTCTTTTGGGGTTCAACAACTATCAAGAACCCTGGCCATGCAGGCACACCCCAATCCTGCAGTCAGAGAACTGTGGTATACGGTAAGAAGATAGGACTCTCTCTCTCTCTCTCAGCAATGGGTTCGTAAAGCACCACGCCATCCCAATAGTCTCAAGGAGAAGCCTATTGGCTTTTGCCAAGGAGTCTGGATTCTTCTCCTTGCTCTCAAAATAAATGTTGGAGAACCTGGTAAGGAGGGGAGGGCCGCAGGGAAGATGGAGTCTTTAACAGAAATGCCCTTCTGGCTTTCTGTTAAGTAATTGCTCTAAAACCCCTGACATCTGGACGGTTCATTAACTGGAGGCATCGTAAGCAGATCACTGGTTGGTACAGAGATGATAAAGCACCTCTGTGGGTCAGTCACGGGAACCGATCATGGCTTCAAACAGAAAGCAAGCAACTGACACCTGGTTCACGAAAAAAGAAAAAAACCACAAGAAATAAAAACACCAGTGTTACTACTGAAGTGGGACCGTTGATCTGTGTGTAGCAGAACGCTGGCTGCCTGGGACAGTTTCCATGAAGAACCTGGGGACTTGAAGCAGTAAAGACCAAGTGCACACTAAAGGGGCCATTTGTGAGCTGGACCCAGGCTCCGAGGAACGCGGGAGTTACATAGGAACAGGGGCTAATGGACCCAGGCTCTGTGGAGGAACGCGGGAGTTACACAGGAACAAGGGCTGATGGACCCAGGCTCTGCGGAGGAACGCAGGAGTTACACAGGAACAAGGGCTGATGGACCCAGCCTCTGCCGAGGAAGCGGGAGTTACACAGGAACAGGGGCTAATGGACCCAGGCTCTGAGGAACGTGGGAGTTACACAGCAACAGGGCTGACCGACCCAGGCTGCCGAGGAATGTGGGAGTTACACAGGGACAGGGGGCTGAGGAACCCAGGCTCTGCCGAGGAACACAGGAGTTACACAGGAACAAGGGCTGATGGACAGATCTTTTAAGCCTAAGCAGATTGTCTAGGTTCAGGGTAAGCAGTTTAGAGGAAACAAGCACAGGCAAGGTGGGAGGGAACGGAGGGATCAGGTCAGTAGAGAGGCTGATGGACAAGAGGACACTGGAATGTTTCAGCTAATAACAGACACCGTCACGGTAGGAAAAACAGCATCTCAACAAAGAGCCCCAGCTCTTTCCAATCCCAACCAAGACTACTTGTGTCTAAACAGGCAGCGTGACTATCTTAAAGGAATATCTACAAGTCTGTCAGTGGTTCCCAGCCGGGAACTTTTGAGCCCCAGGGGCCACAAGGTATGTCTAGAGATCCTTGGTTGCCACAACTAAGAGTGGGCTGCTAGTGGCCTCTAGTGGGTAGAGAGCAGGAAGGGTGCTAACCAGCTTACAGTGTATACGATAGCCATAAAAAAGGAATCCAGGTCTCGATGTAAATAGCGTTAATGAGGACGAACTGCTATAAATCCAGGTGGACGAGCCTAAAGCTCATGGTGTCTCTCAGTAAGTTCACACACCGTCCTCTGGACCACTGGGGAGAGCCGGTGGAAACTGACAGCATGGACATTTGCCTTCCAGGTGCTGGGGAGTCAGGAAAGAGCACCATCGTCAAACAGATGAAGTGAGTACGACACAACCCCGGGAGGACTGAGGTGGGGCGCCATGGAGCCAGTGTTGGTCTAGTAGGACGGTCCTTAGCGCCAAAGACCTGATTTTCAGTGCCCCTCCCCCAACCTGCACTAGGAGACAGCAGTAGAAACAGGTGGTTTCCTATGACCCATATATCCCCTAGACTCCCAATCCCTTAGGTCTGGTTCCTCAGGTCCCTCCAAAAGTTTAGTGTCTGTTCCTTGAAGGATCATTCACCAGGATGGATACTCTCCAGAAGAATGCCTAGAATTCAAATCTGTCATCTATGGGAACGTGTTGCAGTCCATCCTGGCTATCGTCAGAGCCATGGCCACACTAGGCATCGACTATGCAGAACCAAGCTGTGCGGTACGTGATTAATGTTATCTGGTTCAGGGTGAAAGCAGGAGAAGAAATAGACAAGAGACCAGCAAACCACAAGGAAAGTCGGGTAAGAAAAAGCTCTGTGTAACTCAAATTGCATCTGCTAAGCTCCAGATCACTTTAATCCCAGTAGGGTAAACAAGCTCTACCTTTATAATGATGTTTTTCTTAAAGATTTATTTATTTATTATGTATACCGTATTCTGCTTGCGTGTATGCCTGAAGGCCAGAAGGGGGCACCAGATCTCATTACAGATGGTTGTGAGCCACCATGTGGTTGCTGGGAATTGAACTCAGGACCTTTGGAAGAGCAGGTAGTGCTCTTAACCACTGAGCCATCTCTCCAGCCCCTATAATGAATGTTTATGAAATCAACTCCCAGCATATTTTTGCCTCTTAACCTTATCATTTAAATTCTCTCCTTGAGCTTCTAGTCCTAGCCACGGGACTTTTATAAGCTAATACACTAGCCTTTTATACACTGAAATACACTAGGTTGTGTACTTCAGGGCCAGTGTAGCTTTTACATTTCCAGTCCCTGCAGCGAAGGACCTATACCTTCTAGCCGTCCACTTTCAGCCTAATCTGAAGTCTAGCACTTGAAGGATCATCTGATACTATCCTCTAGGCACCCCAGACTAGCTACATCTGGAGAGCATGCTCAAAGTAAATTAGCATATTTCCTTACACTGCACTCTCACTGAGACTGTTCCACCTTAGGCTTTGGTAGCAATATCTACGTTCCATCCAGTAAGTTCCCAGAAACCTGGACGGTCACTGACTCCCTCCTAGTTCATTCTCAGCCACATTTCTCGATTACACAGGATGCGGGTCGACAGCTCAATAACCTGGCAGACTCCATTGAGGAGGGGACCATGCCCCCTGAGCTGGTGGAGGTCATCAGGAAGTTGTGGAAGGACCCTGGCATTCAAGCCTGCTTTGACAGAGCTGCAGAGTTCCAGCTCAATGACTCGGCATCTTAGTAAGGCTCCGGGTGGGAGGTGGGATGGGATGATGTTCAGGAGAAACCTCACCCAGCTTTAAGCGCCAGGCAGTGGAAGCAGCAGACCCACAAACTAAACTTAAGGCTGTGGGGACATCTGCCAGTTCCCTCTGTTTTGCATTTCTTTACACTGCCTCCCTGCAGCTTACGAAGCTGAAGACACAAAATTCAACACAGTGGCTCTGCTTAGCAGCCCTTGGCCCTATCTCAAGAGTCAAACCAAAGAAAGATGGTCAGACACTAAGAGACTTATCAACTTTGCAAAGCTGGTTCCAAAATGATAAGAGATACAGCTATCAGCCCCCCACAGTACAGTATCAGAAGTGGGCATGAGCTGTAAGACCAAACAGACCCATGTTTACCCCTTTGTCACCTCATCTTGAAATGTTACCATTGAGTTTCTGGGATCCTCCCTTACGAAGGTTGTCCCTGCTAGGGCACAACATACACTACATCTCAGAGTCCTTGCTTGTACACTAGCCTTCAAAGCTCATTAGCCCCACTTTCTGGTAGAAAAACTACAGCCCAGAGAAGTCAGTTAGCACGGAAAAGACTGCGCATAAACAGCAGCGGCTGCCCTTGGCTCCAGGTCCGGGCGACTACAGAGCTGAGCTGTACAGCAGGCCACAGCGCTTTCTTGTTCTGCTTGTTCTGCATTGAGACAGGGGCTGACTGCAGCCAAGGCTGCCCTGAAACTCATTCCTCCCAAGGAATCCCTCTGAAGTTTTCCTTTATCTGTAAAGGGGGACAGGAATCTTAAAGTCTTCCAAGATTTAGTGAGACTTTAGATGTGAAACTACGCAGTGTGCATTAGACATGTCAGTTTTCCTCCTGCTCCATCTTAGGTCATTTCAGTTCACAGCTGCCCTCTGCCCACCCTTCGTGAACTTCCTCATGTTCTCAGGAAAGCGGGGCGCACAGTGAGGAGTCCAGTTTAGCTGATTCACAGCCACCCTGAGCTCACTTTCCAGCCCCTCCGCAGCTATCACTGTCCTAACAATTTCACTATGGATTTAAAATGCAAAGAAGAAATCATATCATACCAAAACATTTAATAATTCCTTAGTATCTCCAAATATTAAAATGTGTTCACATTCCTGGTTGACTCGGGAGAAGGCCCACACATTGCCTTGTGTTGTGTCTTCCAAGTCTCTCTCTCTCAATCTGTTTCCGGTCTCTTGATGGAACTTTGCACACATTTAAACAAGTCTTATTCAAGGGTCTAGAAAGGCTTAGTCAGGAGGACAGAAGAGCTGCCTCAGGTGGGTGTGGCATTTGTACGATCCTCAGCCTCTTTCCTTCCCCTAAGCGCACAAGCATTTGTACAATCCTGGTACAGTGCTGTGGACGCCAGCCCTGCTTCTATTAGCGTGTGACTTAGGGGGAGACCCTGTGCCTCCTTTAGTCTGGACTGCAGACTGGAACATCACCAACACCACTGTCTTCCCTAGCTACCTGAACCAGCTGGACCGGATTACAGACCCTGACTACCTTCCCAGTGAGCAAGATGTGCTCCGATCCAGAGTCAAAACCACAGGCATTATCGAGACCAAGTTTTCTGTGAAAGATCTGAATTTCAGGTCAGCATTCGGTTCCCTGGAGGCATCTCGGGTCTCACAGCTTGTTTCTTGGCCTCTGCTGAAGCCCAATTCGGGATTACTGTCCTCCTCCTGCCTCTCCTATTTCTGATTTTGCTACTAACTGGCCCCAGGCAGCCACCTCTCAGGGTGAATACCAAAGGCGAGTGACTCACACGTTGGCCACACCCCTGCTAACAGCTGCTTTTTCCCAGGATGTTTGACGTGGGAGGGCAGAGATCAGAGAGGAAGAAATGGATCCACTGCTTTGAGGGAGTCACCTGCATCATTTTCTGCGCGGCTCTCAGCGCCTATGACATGGTGCTGGTGGAAGACGATGAAGTGGTGAGTGACCCCGTCTCCAAATCTTGTCATTCCACTGCCCAACTGGCTAGAACTGACAGCCTAGACATCCCCTAGCAGACCAATCTCTGCCTCGACCTTATTAACTCCAGAAAATCCCCTTTCTGCTGCAGTTTCGAGGTTTGTACTTCAAAGCTCCAAATTTCCTGAGCATGAGTTTGGTGTGAGATTAGGAATCCAAGCATTGGGTGCGGCCCCCAGAAAGCTAGAGGCGGTGATGCTAAGAGGAAGCAGACAGATAAAATGGGCAGTGCAGGGACTTAGGATGTCTATATGCCAGCTCCCTTCTCTTGATTTGAGAAAAGGAAGTCAAAGATGTGGAAACACTAATTTCACATAAACGTCTATTCCATGTTGGCCAGGTGCCCAACAGAAATACAGCTTTGCTGTCATTTCCACGTCAGTCTGAGTGTACCAGGTATGGAAGTTATCAACAGCAGGAGAGCTACCAGTGAGGAGACTACAAATCAGTTTTCCCTGATTGGATGACAAGAATGACTTCCATTCAGCTGATGGTGCACTTCAGGTCCCTAACCGCTCACCTGACATGGGGACTGGCTGACTCTGGACTCCGCACACATCTCCCCGGTGCCGGCGGTATGGCACTGGGAAATCCTCCAGCCCTTACCTGTGGCACTGGGGTCAGAGAATCCACGTCAGCCATGCTCCACCTGAGAGAAGCTAGCAAAATCATCCTGGAGATGCAAGTAACAAAATGCTGATTTGGGCCTGGTTTCAGCCTAACGGCAGCACTATGAATACTATTTGGACTCTGGAGCTAAAGATCTCCACACATGGGTGTTCCTCGCCAGTTACTACCACAGATACCACAGATCCATGTCCTCTCTAGCATTCATAACTACAAGGGAACTGAGACTCTGGATGTGAATAATCCCCCTCGAATCAAGCTATTAAAATGACAGAAGGGAAATTTAAATGTTTGGTTGTCCCCCACCATACTAAAAACAGATGATCTGTTCCCTTGCTTTCCCTTTTTATTTGGAACACTGGCCTGTTCAGTTAGAACAGGAATAAACAGACATCCACCCCACAGGCTGATCTGCTATTTCCCACGTTTCCTCCCCAGAATCGCATGCATGAGTCTTTGCACCTGTTCAACAGCATCTGTAACCACAAGTTCTTTGCAGCCACCTCCATTGTCCTCTTCCTCAACAAGAAGGACCTCTTCGAGGAGAAAATTAAGAAAGTCCACCTCAGTATTTGTTTTCCAGAGTATGATGGTAGGTGCTGACTGCTGCAGACAAGAGTGATGGGCTCGCCTCATTCCAGGGCAAAAGGAATAGTTTTAAGGTTCAAGTTCAGATGTTTCTGGAATAGAGCAGATGTATACACCAGAGCCACCGACTGTTCCAAGGATACCTACCAAGAAGCAAAAATGGAAACACAGGGACCTTTCCTCTGTTCTACTGTTTCACTCAAGTGAGAAACACCTTCATGCACGACAGTCTTCACTCCTGACAGTCACCTGCATGCATGACAGTCTTCACTCCTGACAGTCACCTGCACGCACGACAGAATCCTCACTCCTGACAGTCACCTGCATGCATGACAGTCTTCACTCCTGACAGTCACCTGCACGCACGACAGAATCCTCACTCCTGACAGTCACCTGCACGCACGACAGAATCCTCACTCCTGACAGTCACCTGCATGCACGACAGAATCCTCACTCCTGACAGTCACCTGCATGCACGACAGTCTTCACTCCTGACAGTCGCCTACATGCACGACAGTCTTCACTCCTGACAGTCGCCTGCACGCACGACAGTCTTCACTCCTGACAGTCACCTGCACGCACGACAGAATCCTCACTCCTGACAGTCACCTGCATGCACGACAGTCTTCACTCCTGACAGTCACCTGCACGCACGACAGAACCCTCACTCCTGACAGTCGCCTGCACGCACGACAGAATCCTCACTCCTGACAGTCGCCTGCACGCACGACAGAATCCTCACTCCTGACAGTCACCTGCACGCACGACAGAATCCTCACTCCTGACAGTCGCCTGCACGCACGACAGAATCCTCACTCCTGACAGTCGCCTGCACGCACGACAGAATCCTCACTCCTGACAGTCGCCTGCACGCACGACAGAATCCTCACTCCTGACAGTCGCCTGCACGCACGACAGAATCCTCACTCCTGACAGTCGCCTGCACGCACGACAGAATCCTCACTCCTGACAGTCGCCTGCACGCACGACAGAATCCTCACTCCTGACAGTCGCCTGCATGCACGACAGAATCCTCACTCCTGACAGTCACCTGCATGCACGACAGTCTTCACTCCTGACAGTCACCTGCACGCACGACAGAATCCTCACTCCTGACAGTCGCCTGCACGCACGACAGAATCCTCACTCCTGACAGTCGCCTGCATGCACAACAGAATCCTCACTCCAACAGTCGCTGACCGTATTTGTCTAAAACAATACTCCAAGAAGCAAATTAGCCACCTAAAAATTGAGCCCTAGAGGTTAATTTATTCTCCTTTACTAATTTTTTTAAAACCAGGGAACAACTCCTATGAGGATGCCGGGAATTATATCAAGAGCCAGTTCCTTGACCTCAACATGAGAAGAGATGTCAAAGAAATCTACAGTCACATGACCTGTGCGACAGACACACAGAATGTCAAATTTGTGTTCGATGCAGTTACAGATATTATCATCAAAGAAAACCTCAAGGACTGTGGGCTCTTTTAATGCTTGGTTCCTCGGGTGTACATTCTACAAGCAGACTTAGAATCTGAGAGACTTCGTGCAGAAGATGAGTCAACAAGTGCCGGGACATGACGGACAAGCCCATTCTGTTGGAGATACAGAAGGAACACTTACAACTGTCTTTCAAGTAGTGTGGCTAATACAGTTTAACGAATGCAAGGCCAAGGAGCCTAAGACCTGCGTTCCAGTACTAGCTCTGCTTAGTAGAGTAGAAGGACTTCCATTTTTTCCGAAGCAAAAGTCCCTCATCTTATTTTGAAGATAACTTCCTTACCTACTTCCCAGGGCTATCCTGAAGAGCACAAACCTAACTGAAGAGAAAGCACTTGGAAGCTGCTGTGGTCGGCCACAAAAAGCCCATGAAGGTTGCAACTACCACACTTGGTTATTAAGAGTAAATTATCTCAAAGTGTAATGGCAAACCTTCCTTATATTGAGTGATAAACTATTAAAAATTAAACCTGCCCCTGGGTTTTTACTAGCAGATCAATATGCCTCAGCTCAGAGACTGGCTCACTGGATGAAGGATGTGAGTCTACTCATTTCTAAGGTACTCACTCAGAAACGATCATCCTCATTAAAAATAAGTTATCTCTCTCCCCTACCCTGGGTGCCCAAACTACTTCCTTTCTCTCTATAAATAACCGCTTAGCTATGTAAGAGTGTGTGGCTGGACTCGAGGACACCAACACACTCCCACTTAGGACATTACCGCTGCCACTTCTGTATCATAGAACTGGAACAAGAGACCAATCTGATACTCATTCCCACTGCTCCAGGCTTCCCAGGAACAAAAGCCATTGCTGAGCTGGCTTTAGGCACTGGAAATTTTTGCAGCTGGGTCCACGTGAGACTGGCTGCAAACATCTTCCCAAACAAACCAGGGATAAATTATTCCTTTGAGCTCCTCTGAGGGGAAATGAAGCTTGCATTTATCTTGACAGGAGGTGGTGAAGCCATGTATAGATTTAGCATTTACAACTACTAGTGAGGAGAGCACTTGGCATCCACGGTTTAGTATATAAAAGAAAGTGTCAATTAACATGAAAATCTGCTCCTTGCCAGAAACACCCATTCACACTTAGATGCTTCCAGCAATATTAATACCCGAGAGCCAGCCAGCATCACGGGCTTGAAACGCACCAAAGAACCAACGTGAGACCACTGAAGTGAGGATTCGCTTAATAGTCTGAACGAGCAAAAGAATACACACATGCACACTGCAACCTGCCAGAATCGCCATAGGAACTACTCTAGGTATGGCTATTAATAAAATAAATAAGTATTAAGTAAAGCCCATCTGGGCAAAGCACTTGCACTAAAGGCAATGCAGGAACTACGTTGATGGCACACCCCAGTCATCACTAACCTGTTCACTCTAACTCAGTATACAATGATTCTGAGAATGTTCTAGATCATGAATTCCTACAGCAGGATGAGGAAGGCTAGGGATCTCTCTTCAGAGTAACAGTTTGTTTGGTTTCTCTGTTTTTATGAGATGGGGGCTCATGGTATTACGGAAACTGCTCTTGAGTTTGAGGGTTCAAGAGATCCACCTGCCTTACTCTGTGAAGAGCAGGACTACAGGCACACACCAGCATCCCCATCTCAGAACGCTTAAAAAGAAAAAAAAAAAAAGATTACCCTTATTCTATGTGGATGAGTGTTTTGCCTGCATATGTCTGTGAACTACTTGCATACCAGGTGTTCACTGATGTCCAAGGGGGGAACCAAATTTCTGGAACAAGAGCTACACATGGTTATGAGCCACCCTGTGGGTGCTGGGAACAGGACCCAGGTCGTCTGGAAGAACAACCATATTTTTAAACCACTGAGCCATCACTCTGTCCCTCAGAATGCTTTACAATGCATAAAATAAAATTCAGAATTACAAAGGAAACAAGCAAATTAAGCAATTTTCTCTGTAGACTCTGAAGCCCCAACTTTTAACAAAAATTCAGTTACAGCCAGTAGTGCTGCACAGCTTTAATTTCAGCGCTGCACCCAGGAGGCAGAGGCAGGGGCATCTCTGGGAGTTCCAGGCCAGCCAGGGGTACATAATGCAACTCTGTCTCAAAAGGCAGAACCCAGAGCATGGTTGTCTATTCAAGCTGGAAATTTTACCCCACTTGCTCCTTCTAAGAGAGCCTCCCCTCCGGACTGCACTGGTTTCTTTGCTTCTATTGATCTCTTTGGCTGCTAATATTCATTTGCTCTCCATTGTAAGAGCCAATGGAACAGGATTTCTGGCAGAGCAATGAAATTCTCAAGCCAAAACCAGCTGCATTTTAGTCTTCTTCTGTTTTCTGACAGGTTAATGTTTAACTGGCTCAGAGATTCACATAATGTACCTTGCACGCACATCTCACAAAATGACTCTCTCGGCAGACACAGGAGACAGTGACTCCCGAGAGGCCCATCTCCCCAGCTGCTCTCAAACGACGTTAGGATGTGGCCACATATACTAACTCTGTGGGCCCCACTGGATCCCATTCACCTGCTCGTCCACACCTTAGAACAAAGTCAAAAGGACTTCCTGAAACTTGGCCAAGTCTCCCCTCCAAGGAAATGGGGACACATAGTTGCTGGTGCCATTAGCCCTCGCCCCAGCTCAGCCTGTCCCTCCGTTCCACTCTCTAGAGCTACAGAGAAAGTCAATTTTTACTTTCATGTAAATGGCCTGGTTTTTGATTGTTTTGTTTCTGCTTGCTTGTTTATTTATTTATTTATTTTGGTTTTTCGAGACAGGGTTTCTCTGTGGTTTTGGAGCCTGTCCTGGAACTAGCTCTTGTAGACCAGGCTGGTCTCGAACTCACAGAGATCCGCCTGCCTCTGCCTCCCAAGTGCTGGGATTAAAGGCCTGCGCCACCACCTCCCGGCTTGTTTTTTTATTTTTGAAACACTGTATAGACCGTGATTGTTTTGTTTCTGCTTGCTTGTTTTTTATTTATTTATTTTTTTTATATATTTATTTATTAAGTATACAATATTCTGTCTGTGTGTATGCCTGAAGGCCAGAAGAGGGCATCAGATCTCATTACAGATGGTTGTGAGCCACCATGTGGTTGCTGGGAATTGAACTCAGGACCTTTGGAAGAGCAGGCAATGCTCTTAACCGCTGAGCCATCTCTCCAGCCCCCTGTTTTTTATTTTTGAAACACTGTGTAGACCTCAAACTCACAGAAACCCACCTGTCTGTCCTCCAGTTGTTGGGATTCAAGGTGTGAACAACCAGGTTAAATAGCCTATTTTTATCTGTCATTCTGATTATGTGCATGAAAAGATTTTGTGTAAAAAAAAAGCACACAAAAATGCTTAAAATCAAATCTACGGCATTTATTCTGCTCTTTCTTTTGCCTCATTAAAAGCTGATGTTAGTCACTATGTGAGATGTCATATTCTTTGTAAGCCAGCAGAGAGTGTTTTCACCAGCCCAGCCCTCGTCTTCTATTGCAACCTTAGTTCTTAGAAAGCTGAATTCAACAGGAACTAAGATAAACAGGTTCCCACGCTGAACTGAGCAGCACAAAAGTATAATCAAATTTGTTTACCAGCCTAAGTTCCTGTTATACAGCCTTAAACAGCACCGAGAGGCTGTGAGGCACTTCCTACCACCGCGTGGTTAGAGAACACTGTGACAACCTGGTAGAGGCTGCTAGAATCTCACATAAATCTGATGGGTATTTTAACACTGGGATGACAGTTCAGGACAAATACTGTGTAAATCCACGTATCTGCGGAACGTAAGAGCCTGAAAAAGAGAAGAGAATGGTGGGCACGAGGGCCCGGAAGAAGAGGAACCGGGAGTTACTATTTAGCATGTAGAACTTCCCATTAGGAGAAGAAATAAATTGTGGAGATGGATGGGGGTGAAGGAAATCTAATAGTGGGAATGTGCTCTTTACTTAATTATAAAACCTGGAGCTCTTGTTATGTATTCTTTCCTGCAGTAAAAACAATGGAAAAGCAATTAGCAATGTGCTGGGCACTTTCTGTGGGTAAAGAAATGAGACAAAAAAGCAGAAGCCAGGGCTGGAGAGATGGCTCAGTGGTTAAGAGCATTGCCTGCTCTTCCAAAGGTCCTGAGTTCAATTCCCAGCAACCACATGGTGGCTCACAACCATCTGTAAAGAGGTCTGGCGCCCTCTTCTGGCCTTCAGGCATACAGACAGAATATTGTATACATAATAAATAAATAATTTAAAAAAAAAAAAAAAAAAAAAAAAGCAGAAGCCATTCAGTGGAAGACACACAGACTTTTAAGAATCACTATTCCCTGCTGTTTTCAAGGCCAAGCAGCATTTCAACCCCACTCTCTGCTTGGAGAAAAGCCGGAGGTGCTGTGCTGGTGTGGTGGTGAAGGGGGAGGAGCTTATCTCCCACTGTCCTCTTTACCCAGCACAGCCCCCCAGAGCTGACTCCACTGCTGGCCAAGGATGGCAAGTGCTAGAGCCTGGGGGTGCTGCCTGCAGTCACACAGGGTACCGAGACTGAAATGGGAACATACCAGTGGGAACAGAAAATAAGATGGCTGAATACAAAACAAAGACTTTACTCTGTTTCACAAGAAAAACAGAAATTCAGGATCAACTCCATCCATGTCTGCCATATGCTGTGTGCAGCAGCTGCCGCAAACAAAGGCGTTGTGAGACATTAGTATAATCCTGATTATCATAAAGCACATTACAAAACATCTTCAAATGTTTGTTTCTATCTGGTCAAAATTATGGAGTATCATACCTGGTATTTATTTAGTGTGGCCCACCTTTGGACAGCACAAGTGGAACGTAAGACTGAAAGTGACCTGCTCAAAGGTTCACGGCTTAGGTAGAAGCTGCGGAAGAGTGGAACCCAGCACTCCAAGTAATTCTCAGTCTCCTAAGATTTCTAAGAGGTCTCAGGACTTTTGTCCTACATGAGCAAAGATTTAAAAACAAAAAAGTAATTTCTAGAATTCTATCGATCTCTCTCACAAACTTCTC